GCTGCGACGCCCGGGGAGCAGTTGGGGGTTCGGTGCCTTGCTCAAGGGCACCTCAGTCGTGGTATTGACGGTGGGAGAGAGCGCTGTACATTCACTCCCCCCACCTACAATCCCTGCCGGTACGAGACTCGAACCCGCGATGAGCAATAAGGCTATACTGAGCCCCTTTATTAAAATACCTGGAGGTGAGGAATAATACAAAAATTGTCATATTCACTCAGTATTACTTAATCTAATTCACAAATATCTCAATTACAGTTAAGTAGAAATTAATTGTACTCAGTTGTGTTTTAGGCACTAAAACAGTCCAATACTTTATAGTCAATCACATTTTTTATATTGAAGTAATGAAGATTTCTGTGCCACCCCAGACTGGCTGCTGGCCCCTCCCTGGCCACCCCTATGAAAACATCCTGGCTCCGCCACTGGTGTCAGCTGAAGGTTTTCGATTCAGTCATTGTGTTGCATCAGAGGTGCTGCTTCAAAGTCTCAATTTTAAATCCGGGGATGGAAAAACAGTAACCTTATTGCTTAAATGTGATAATTATACTTTAAACGGCTATGATTTAATTAATCAAACACGAGCACGGCATGTTTCAAAATAAAAACACAGTTAGCAATCACCAAATAGCTCACATTTATGCCAACTTGCCAACCTTTCTTTCAATCTACTGATGATGAATAATGAATATTTTGTGTAATTTATGGTGTTTAAATCATACCTGTAAATTCACATTTCGGCCAGGAAATTTCTAATGGCATTTTCTTTTCGTATAGTTTATTTTATGTAAAGGCTATAATTCTGCTGTTCCACAAGCGCCACCTTCTGGCAAAGAGTGAATGTATTCACTTACGTTCACATTTTACGCAGAACAGTGTTTAAAATGTTAACTAGCATATCAATAAGAAAAATAAAAATCGAAATTTGACATATATTATTCTCAGGAAGCAAAAAACAAAAAAAAACCTATGGATTTCTTAAGGCGCCCCTGGCTACCCACATTCTGTTTTGCAGAAGTTAGAAATTCATGCAGGTTTGGAAAAACTCGAGGGTGAGTAAATGATGACAGAATTGTCGTTTTTGTGTGAATTATATTGTGTGAAGGCCATGCAAAAAACAATGACCCATTCTTTTATGTCTATTTATTAAATTAAAAGATATTTGCATTTTATTTTTCTATATAAAGCTATAGTGAGCCCCTTTATTAAAATACCTGGAGGTGAGGAATAATACAAAAATTGTCATATTCACTCAGTATTACTTAATCTAATTCTATTCACTCAGTATTACTTGATCTAATTCACAAATATCTCAATTACAGTTAAGTAGAAATTAATTGTACTCAGTTGTGTTTTAGGCACTAAAACAGTCCAATACTTTATAGTCAATCACATTTTTTATATTGAAGTAATGAAGATTTCTGTGCCACCCCAGACTGGCTGCTGGCCCCTCCCTGGCCACCCCTATGAAAACATCCTGGCTCCGCCACTGGTGTCAGCTGAAGGCTTTCGATTCAGTCATTGTGTTGCATCAGAGGTGCTGCTTCAAAGTCTCAATTTTAAATCCGGGGATGGAAAAACAGTAACCTTATTGCTTAAATGTGATAATTATACTTTAAACGGCTATGATTTAATTAATCAAACACGAGCACGGCATGTTTCAAAATAAAAACACAGTTAGCAATCACCAAATAGCTCACATTTATGCCAACTTGCCAACCTTTCTTTCAATCTACTGATGATGAATAATGAATATTTTGTGTAATTTATGGTGTTTAAATCATACCTGTAAATTCACATTTCGGCCAGGAAATTTCTAATGGCATTTTCTTTTCGTATAGTTTATTTTATGTAAAGGCTATAATTCTGCTGTTCCACAAGCGCCACCTTCTGGCAAAGAGTGAATGTATTCACTTACGTTCACATTTTACGCAGAACAGTGTTTAAAATGTTAACTAGCATATCAATAAGAAAAATAAAAATCGAAATTTGACATATATTATTCTCAGGAAGCAAAAAACAAAAAAAAACCTATGGATTTCTTAAGGCGCCCCTGGCTACCCACATTCTGTTTTGCAGAAGTTAGAAATTCATGCAGGTTTGGAAAAACTCGAGGGTGAGTAAATGATGACAGAATTGTCGTTTTTGTGTGAATTATATTGTGTGAAGGCCATGCAAAAAACAATGACCCATTCTTTTATGTCTATTTATTAAATTAAAAGATATTTGAATTTTTTTTTTCTATATAAAGCTATAGTGAGCCCCTTTATTAAAATACCTGGAGGTGAGGAATAATACAAAAATTGTCATATTCACTCAGTATTACTTAATCTAATTCACATATATCTCAATTACAGTTAAGTAGAAATTAATTGTACTCAGTTGTGTTTTAGGCACTAAAACAGTCCAATACTTTATAGTCAATCACATTTAAAAAAATTATTAATTCATATATTTTATTTTTAAGTGGCACATCTAGTCCTCTGTAGTGGTCTGTAAGATTGCAGCACTAGCAGGAAGGTGTAAGTGAGTGAAACAATGCACACAAATGTAAATATAAATAGAAATGTGACACTCTTTTAGTTACATATGTTGCAATGTGTCAGACTAATCAGCCACCCTGTTCATTAGATTTTTTAATGCTACCATTTTTGCAAAATATTCAGTGAACCACCACATGATGGCAGTGTTTAATCATTCTTATGCTCTCAAAAATCTGCTTTTGGTCAAATTTAGACGCTTTTCGCATGATTGTGAGATATAACATACACAGACAGAACACCATCATATAAAGGACGTATATTCATTATAAAATGAGATGACTTTAACATACAATACACAAAACAATATATACAATTAATCAACTTCTAGTTCATTTAAAAATTCATTATTTTTTGGAATAAATAATATCTGGTTTTGTTTTCATTATTTGTTGAATATCGTCAGGAAATACTGTAGTTTTAAGAGGAAAGCACCAAACTAAAAATATATTTATTTAAAACCAAACTATGTTTCACATTTTTTTTTGGAGAAAAAAAACAAAACAAAAAAAAAACAATATATATATATATTCTCTACTTCACTCAAGTACTCAATTCCATTACTTGAGTGAAAGTACAGATACTGCTGGTCAAATATTACTCCATTACAAGTAAAAGTTGTAAAGACAGATTTATACTTAAGTAAAAGTACAGAAGTACTTGCTTTTAAAAGTACTTAAGTACCAAAAGTAAATTTCCTTTTTTATGTCAATGCACTGTTTTATTGTTGCACGTAATACTTGCAATACTTCTGAAGCAACTTAGAATACATTACACCTACTGAATACACTGACTAGCATCTTTGGAATAAAGAGCTTTTAGAATGTTAAAAACACATGGGGATAAAACAACAACAACAACAACAGAAAAATTATTTAACACCCCTACCCACCCCCACAAAAGCAGGATGGTAGTGATCTCACACAGCTCTGGACACATCTATGTGT